AAGGGTTGACAGTCCTAAGATCCCAGGGGTCTCCAGGTGGGGTCCCCTGCCAGATCTGGGCTCCACCCTCCTCCAGCCTGAGAACCAGTTGGGCCAGCTCCTGAGCGGGTTGTTATTTCCGTGTCCTGGCAGGGCTGGGGCTGAGAGAGGACAGAGGTGAACAAGCTGTGCCCCTGACCCGTGCAGCTGGAACCACACAGTGCCTAGCCGGGAAAGGGAGTTGAAGAGGCCAGAGGAGATCTGCTTATCTGAGTGTGTCTGTCCGAGCGGGCTGGGGCCCCTATGTGCTTGCACCCAGCCCACTTTGCATTGATCCCTAACAACAGTCCTTCTGTAAGAGCCTAGGCTGCTGACGAACTTTTTCCAAGATTGACCGCATTGCCTTGAGTGTGACAGCCCGGCAACAAGCATATTGGAGGTTAGAGCTGGGTGTGCAGAAGGACACCTAGCCTGAAGGGGCAAGTGACTCCCTCAAGGTCTCCAAGCCAGCCAGGAGCTTCACGGACATTAAAATCTCCCTGTGCTTGTGTGAGAGGCATGTATGGGTTGTGTGCATACGTGTGTCCTAAGCAGTGTGAGGGCCTAGGTCAGAGAAGTCCAGTGTCCTGCTAGATTATTCTCTACCTTATTCTCAAAATGGAGGAGGATCTCTTATTCAAATCGGAGTTGAATAAGCCTTAGCTATCTTCCTATAAGGTACTAGAGGCATGGCTCAATGGTAGAGTGCTTGCCTAACACCCAGGGTGTTAGCTAACTCGGGGTTCTATCTTTGTCAGTCCAATAAGATGGAGGTAGAATTCTATGGAGCATTTTCTCAGCAAGAACCGATGGTTTGGTTGCTAAGACAGGGCATTCTATTGGCATCCCACTTTGCAAATGAGAAGACAAGGTCAGAAGGGTTACACTGCTAATCCAAAGTCACACAGTGACAGCCCCAGCCAGATTCAAACCTGGGCAGCTGGTTTCTGAATTCTACCTCTTTTCACTACTCCCTGCAGAGGAAGTACTAAGACGAATGGAATGGCATCATTTACACCCAGAGAGGATTTTTATGCTTAACTGTGACTCAATATTCACAGTTAAAAAAATAAGGAAATGAAAATAGGGAAAGTCCGAGGACCTGCTAAATTGTTAAGGGCAAGTCAGTCTGTCAAAACATTCGTTTTCATTGCAGTGAAGGAGGGAGTGGTGATTGTGTGTCAAGTTGCAGTAAAACTGTATTTATTCACCTGGGGTAAGGGCAGAGTGGAACTGGTGTAGCAACAGTGGTTTCAGAGATGGGCAAGATGGCACAGGTTCATAAGCTCAGCACCTTATGAAGGCTGAGGCAGGAGAATTGTGCTGAACTGGAGGCCATCTAGATCTGTCTTTTAGGACGCTATCTACAAAATAAAACAAGCAACAAATGAATCTTCTCAAAACTGACAACAACAAACACCAATACTGGTGGTAATCACAATACTGGCCTGTAATCACAGCTACTCTGTTAGCTCACGAAGTTCAAGGCTTGGCCTACAAAGTGAGTTCAAGAACAGTCTGGACAACTTAGTAAGGCCTTGTTCCATAATGAACAACAAAAAGAAGTTTTGGAGAAGGGCATGGCAGTGTTGGAGCATGATTCAGATGTTAGGAGCACTGACTGGCTCTTCTAGAGGACATGGGTTTGATTCCGACACCCACATGGCAACTCTCGACCATATGTAATTCCAGTTCCAAGGGATTTGACACCCTGTTCTGGCCTCTGTGGGCACCAGGCATGCATGCAGTACATGGATGTATATCCAGGCAAAACACCAATGTATGTAAAATAAATTTTGTTCTTGTGTTTCTTTGTTTTTGGTTTTCCAGATAGGGTTTCTCTGTATAATAGTCTTGGCTGTCCTGGAACTCGCTCTGTAGACCAGGCTAGCCTTGAACTCACAGAGACCCACCTGCCTCTGCCTCCCAAGTGCTGGAATTAAAGGCATGCACCATCACTGTCCAGCTAATAAAGAGAAAGAGAGAGAGAGAGAGAGAGAGAGAGAGAGAGATTTGGGGATATAACTCAGTGGTAGAATACTTTCCTAGCATGTATGAAAGTCTGGGTTCAGTCCTAACAGAGGGCAAACATGGGAAGTGCGCAAGTGTGCATGTGTTTCTAGGCTTGTTCCCTATGGGAGAGACTATGTGTGCATGGATTCAATGGTCCTTAGACTGCATCCATCTAAATTCTTTCGAACAGTTTTGGCTGTACTTTGTGTTCACATCCTCGTTGATCCTTCCCAGGGTGCTGAATGCTGAAAGAACAATGTTGGCTCCCTTGCCTTCCTCATATACTTTTACCAAATCTAATCTTTATTCCGCAGTTATTGTTTGGGTGACCTAGCCTTTTCTTCTCCCAACATTAGCACGACCACTTGGCAGCAGTTAATATTAAAAACATACTTCATGCTTCTATGTGCTCTGCAGGGAGTTGGCAGTGTCATTTTATCTGAGGTATAGACAGGAAAACAAAGGATTAATTTGTGGAGATTCACTTAACTGGAAAAGGGTGGGGTTTTGATGGAAATAGAAACAAGGGATTTCATCATAGTAGTAAATGTTAAAAATACAAAGTTGTCAAGTTCCTGTCACAATTTCCATGGAAAAAGACTAAGCTCCAGGATATGGACCAAGGTTTGCTGGGTTTCTCTTTACCACTCAGTCAGGTGCAGTAACCTAGCAACTGCATATCTGGTATATAATTCACAAGCTGGCAGCTGCAAACATATGTCATTCTTGCCGATATTTGCTTATTCGATTGATTCATTTATTTTACCTATGAGTGTTTGCCTGAATATGTGTGTGTGTACACTACATGCATGCTTGGTGCCCATGGAGGTCAGAAGAGGGTATCTTCTGGAACTGATGACAATGGATGGTTGTGAACCACCACGTGCAGGAACTATGTGTTTTCGTGTGTGCAGTGCCTTCAGAGGCCAACAGAGGGCATTAGACATTTTGTTGCTGTATGGAAGCAATTTGGAAGTTGTAAGATGTGTGGCTTGGGTCCTGGTACTTGCCTCCCCTTGGAAGAGCAGCAGGCACTATTTACCTCTGAGCCAGCTCTCAGGGCCCTCATTGTTACTGAATTTTAACACATGAGGCTTTTGCTTTATTATTTGTGTTTTTAAAAATGAGATGTTATACCTTAGGTGATGTTATGCCCTAGATGCTCCCCAAAACATATTTTAATTTTAAAATTCTGCGTAAATATACAGCTCTCCTGGACCACCAAAGCCTCCAAAATGAGAATCTTCATGTCGCCTGTACAGTGAATTTTGCACTTGCTCTGTTGAGCCTTCCTGGTCCACTTCTTCAGTGTGTATACAGGGAAGGGCGCTTGAGTGTGTGTGGTTGATCCTAAACCTGTGCCCGTGGTACTCACTGGACAGAGTCTGCCCTGTCTTCAAGGATTGGGCACTGGTAATCTTCATCTATACTTCATCTACAGCTAATGCTTATTGGAGATTTTTACTAGTCTGCTTGGGAAGCACTCCGAAAGTAATTATTTGGTACTTACCCTCCGAGAAGGCTCAAATGTTAGTTACTGGGGTGACCCACATATGATCATGGACATGTTACACTTAGAAAAACTTAAAATTTGAGTCCAACAGTAGTGACCTTAGACTCTCACAGTCTCAGTTTCCTTACTTGTTAACTGAGAATAGTCCCACCATAGTCCTACCTTATCAGTGCATTCTTTAAAAATGTATACAGTGTTCTTTCTGCATGTGTGTCTACAGACCAGAAGAGGGCACCAGATATCATTACAGATGGTTGTGAGCCACCATGTGGTTGGTGAGAATTGAACTCAGGACCTCTGGAAGAATAGCCAGTGCTCTTAACCTCTGAGCCATCTCTCTAGCCCTTATCAGGGCATTCTTGAGGCTGACTAGGCAGGTCTGGGACCTAGAGTTGGGGCTTTAGGGTGAGGCAGCTCTGATATGCCTGTGTCCCCACAGATGCCGGTGCTGAAGCAGCTGGGTCCTGCGCAGCCCAAGAAGCGACTGGAGCGTGGAGCACTGTCTATCTCAGCGCCCCTTGGAGACTTCAGGCACACATTGCATGTGGGGCGCGGTGGCGACGCCTTCGGGGACACCTCGTTCCTGAGTCGCCACGGGGGCGGCCCACCCCCTGAGCCCCACACCCCACCAGTCGGGGCCCCGCATTCTATCCCTCCACCTGCAGTTCCACAGCCCCCTGCACCTGGTCTCCGAGTGCCTTCACCTGCGGACCCGCTGTTATCCTTTCACCTGGACCTGGGCCCCTCTATGCTAGACGCGGTGCTAGGCGTCATGGACGCCGAGCGTGCCCAAGCAACAGCCACCAAGCCTGTCGGGGACACCCACCCTGGAATGCAGCACCAAAAGGCCCGCTGCCGCTCCAATGCTGACCTCCCACTGGACGACGTCATAGGCCTGTAGTGTCCTGATTCCTGCACCTCCTCGGTCCCGCCCAATAACCCACTTTTGTACACATAAATGGCTGAGGTTTGTGCCAGTGCTGTGTCTGTTCACTTTTTACGGGAAGGGGTGCAGAGGCAGGACAGTGGTCGGTTGCCACCAACTAAAAGCCAAGGCCAGTTTATCCATGTAATAAACCACTCCCAAAGGTGGAGTCTTGCACCTGGCCGCTCCCACAGACTTATTCATTCTTCAAATATTGACTCAGCCTCATTGCTACCTGGATAAAGTCCAGACACCGTGGTTTGCTTAGCACCACCTACGGTAACATTTGGTTTGAAGAGTCATAGACGCCTGGCCCGACACATTCCCCCAGGTGCACTTTGACCGGGCGGTGCCATTCGCTTTTCTGAGAGCAACTGCAAAGAGGAGTGGCTGGGTACTCTTTGGAGTCATGAGAGGCGTGGTCCCCGTAGGTAGGGCTTCTGCTCCTACCAACTACACGTTGCCATGCGCGGTGGCTGTTGCGTCACAAATCTGGACACAAAGTTAACCCTGAGCCCATAGATGTCCAGATGTTTTAATACCCTAGAGGTGCGGGGCTCTCTAGGCCTATATCATGAACTGAGGGTGGAACCAGATTCTCGAAGGTTCCAGGAAAGGAGGGACCTCTAGTATTTATCACTCGGCTTGGAGAGTGGCTATCTTAGGTCCCTGAAGGGACAAGACCAACTTTCGGAGTCAGAATAAGGTCTTTTGAAGTTTGCAGAGTCATATTGCCAACCCCTAGACAGGAGCAAGACTCGTACCCCACAACTGGGATCAGGTAAAACCATTGAAACTTGGCCAAGGTAAGGCCAACAAGAGGAGGGGCATACGTAAATCATTCAAGTGGGTTGAGACCAAGGTAAGCCACGCTCCCAGGAAATACAGGACGGGACAATCATAAGTAACTTTGCATGGAGCAGGACCAGGAATCACTTTGCTCATAGTGAGGTATGGTATGTAAGACAACCACTGGTATGGGGACTACACACTTTAAGGACCGTCGTGGGCGGAGCCAGGATATTGAACTCCTCCCCGCCCCCCGCGCGCCCCGACACACACAAAGGGCTGTGCACATGTAAATCGTATGCTGTGGAGTAGTGTCCTGAGAAGGACAGGGCACAAGCAAAGTATTTGATTGGCAGCAGGCCCAGATCTCTAAGCCCCACCCCCCACCTTAGGGGACGGAAATATATGTGAATCAGCTGGCAGGAGAGAGGAGGCCTTGCTCCTTTGAGGCCCTGAAAGCGACCGAGTACACATAAAGCGTTTGCATGCGTTGAGAACTGTCTCTTGCCAAAGCCCAGAAAGGGAGGAGCACATGTAAAATAGGTGGATGGGATGGAACTTAGCTCCTTTGAGTTCTTAAGAGGCTCTCGACCCACTAGTTAATTGGCTGGTTGGGCGGGACTAGACTCGCTAAGGCCTCTGAGGAGCAGGGCTCACGAAGATCATTTTGGGCGGGGCAAGACCAGGTTCCCAGAGGCTCAGAAGCCAGCTACACGTAAATAAGTTGGGCGGGGCCGGGAGACCAGAGCCGGTGGGACACTCCGAGGTCCCGCCTAGTCTCTTGGCTTCCCTCCGTGTGAGGCGGACGGAACTCCTGGTGTCACAGTTGGGGCTCAACGTTGTGGACTGAGGCTGCCCAGTGTGCTGCGGTACCATGGAGGCAGCGGCCGATTCCTCTGAGGCCCCCTCGGTCTGCCGCTTCTTCCTAGAGGGCCGCTGTCGCTTCGGCGCACGCTGCCGTCAGCCACACCCTGGGGCCCCAGGGCCAACTCCTGAGGTCGCGCAGCCAGAAGCTGGATCCAAAAAGCCGGCGCTGCGTACTGCCGCTGACGTCATCCAGCGCATCCGTTGGGATCCGCGACTGGACCCTGCCGAATTTTCGGTGGGCTACACTGACCGCTTCCTGGGCGTGCAGGAAGAGCCCTTCTGCGCCTTCTGCTGGGACGAGCCGCTGGCAGCGCTCGGGCCCGGCGTACTGGCGGTGCCACAGCACCGCATCCGCTACTTCCGCTTCCGCGGCCGCCTGGTGTGGGACCGTGCCTCGCGTACTGACCTCATTTTTGGCTCGGGCTCTGTGGCTGGACGGGGACCCACCATCCTGGACGAACTGGACGACGGGAACGAGCACTGGCCAGCGGTTGCACTAGAAATCCCTGACACAGAGAAGACAGGTGCGACTTTCGAGGGTCAGGACACCCAGGATGGCCCTAAGGAAGGGAGTGGAAACCCGGCAAGAACTAGGCTTGATTCGGGCCTGGAGATACCCGAAGACGGTGGGGCAACCAAAGAGAACAGAACTGGGCTTGATTCGGGCCTGGAGATAGCCGAAGACGGTGGGGCAACCAGAGAGACTGTCCTGAATAGGACCACAGAGGCAGGAACACCAGACGCAAGCGGGTGCTTCACAGGAGTAAAGATCTTGAACTCACTAGAGACACCTGGAGCCACTCTACTTCCACAGTCGGAGGCACAGGCCATGGAAGCTCCAGGGCTTTCTGCTGAAGAGATGGGAAGTGAGTGGACTCCAGGGGCTTGGCCTGTTGAAAGAAGGTCCCCTCGTCAGCCCCGGCCCACACATTTTGTGGCACTGATGGCGACAGAGCCTGGGCTTAGGGCAGAAGTGGTCAAGGCCCAAGAGCATCTTGTCCGGATTGCTCCTCCTTGTGCTGCTTTCCTGGTACCTGTACAGGCCCTGCACCTGACAGTGGCCTTGCTGAGGCTGACAGGCCCTGGGGAGGAGGCTGCAGCTACTGGGGCTCTGCGGAGGGCCCTCCTGAAACCAGGGCTTCAGGTACCCTCCCAGCTACAGTTCAAGGACTTAGTTCTTCTAGGTCATCACGTGCTCTGTGCCATGCCTTTCCCCACACTGGCAGGCATGGCCCAAACTCTGAATCAGAGGCTGGAGGCTGAAGGGCTGAGAGTGGTGCAGCCCCCAGGGGGCCTAGAGCCACACCTCACCCTGGCCAAGGTGCCACAGGGATCCCAGGTTTGCATCCCTGAGCTCGAGTTCAGTTTGAACCAGGAGCTAGGAAGACAGTCCTTAGGGAAATTCTGGCTTTGCCGTATGGGCAGAGCAGGACATAGCTACTTGCCCCTGGCTGAGATTTCCCTCAAATGACCAACGTTCCAAACTTCATAGAAAAAACAAGCCAAATAGAAACAATTTCTCTCTCTCTCTCTTTCTCTTTAATTTTTGGTTTCAAGCTTCCAAAATGTACTGTACTCAATGCTCAAGGAGAATGAAGGGAGGGGAGGGGAGAGGTGGGAAGGGGAGGTAGGGAGGCATCTGGAAAAAAAGCAGCCTGACAGTCCAGCTGTTTGCAACCTCATAGCACATCCTCCAGTTACATGGCAGAAGAGGAGGGAGGGGTGAAAAGAAAAGGGGAGAAAGAAGAAAAATAACTTAAACACACACACAGAGGAAAGAGAAGGAAACATGACGTGAGCTGGTGATCCATGAAGGCAGAGGGGAGGAAGGTAGGGAGGGTAACCATTTTACCTGTGTTGAACCAGGGAGCAGGGAGGGAGAAGGAAGAGGAGGGAGGGAAGGGAAAAAAAAATCAGAAGAAACATTGGGGCAGAGGGAGGAAGGGACATGGAGACAACTTAATACAACTTGAGTAAGACGAGGCAGCCCGGCTGGCATGGTCCCGCGAAGGCCCTGGAGTCCTCAGTGCGGTGTGGCGCTGGTCTGGCTGTGTTGGTGGTGCTGGCTGGCATTTCTGGGGTGAGGGGTCGAAGGTGGGGCATAGTCTATAAGCAGCTCCCCTCACCCCAAACACTGAGGCCCCAATAGCTGGGCAACAAGAGTCTATGAAGAGGCAGACGAGGCAATAGGTGTGGCTGGCTGGTGCCCCACTGCAGGCGGGTGCGGGCTGGACGGCCTGTCTTCTTTCTGCTGACCCCCCAACATGGGATGGGCCAGCACGCAGGGTCAGGTGCTGGAGTACGAGCTCGAAAGAGAGAGAGAAAAAACACTGAGACAGCATTAGTGGAGGTGAGAGGTGGACACAGAACCTGTAGCCCCCACCCCACCCTCCTCCACTATACTCCCAATTATCCCCTGTGAGACAAAAAATAAAAACGTAGAAAAATCTCTGTACAGATCCCCGGTGGGAAACGGGGGTAGGGATGCTGGCTCTTCCTGGAGCCTTCTCCCCACAAATTAATTTACAACCCATGTCCATGGCTCAAAAACAAAATCCGCAAAGGCGGCACTGGGCCACAGCCCTAACCCCGCCCGTGCTCGATGGGTGCTCAGAAGGCTGGCAGCTGCGCCAGGCTGAGGCGGCAGTCCACGCTGGAGTTGTCCGGGCCCGTGTAGGACAGGCCCAAGGGCTCTAGGAAGGCCCGGCAGGCGGCCTCGCCCTCGAAGGCCAGCTCGGCCTGCAGGTAGGAGACGGGCAGCGCAGGGCGGAAGCTATGGAGACAAGAGGAGAAAATGATGAGGCAAGCAGACAAGGGAGGGCCCAAGAGCAGAGAGCAATGCTCCCCATCTGGGCTCCCAGAATTTTCCTCAGCAAGGAACCTCCTGGCTTCTGCAGCCCCTCCCACCCTCCCCATGTCAGCGGCTTGGGGGGGGGCCAGGGATGGGGTTGGTAGCCCCAGTGCCCAGCTGCCCCCCCTTGCCCACACTTACCTGTCCAGGAAGGAGGGGGCAGGAGGGAAAGGGCCCAGATGGCTCCTCTGCTGGCTGAGGGGCTGGAGCCAGACAGAGTAAGTGGTACAAAGGCTTGGAGGGTAGGGACAGTGATACTTCCACCCTCAAGGATGTTTGCACAGAGTGTCACACTCAGCAGTGCTTTCTGGTTGGTACCAAGATGCCCTAATTTTGTACATGCCCTACTAGTTTTGGGGACCCTTTCCTGCAAGCCTTCACAGCCCTTTAACTACTTGGTTTCAAGTATCTGGAACCCAGGTATTCTAGGCCATGACAGGGGCTTGTCTGCCAAGAATGGCTATGCCAAGTTCATAGGAAAGGGGCTGTGAGAATGATGTCAACACAAGCCAGGGCGCTGAGTACTCACAAGGACCATTTGTGCTATGTAGCCAAGGTTGACTAAGAACAGATTAAGAATCACTTGCACCACTGAGGCTTGAGGGCTGCTCATTGGACCATAAAAAGCTGACAGCTCAGTGCCCACTCATCTCACTCCCTTGGGTTGGACTGACTAGAACAAAATCCTAGAACAAGTTTCCTTGGCAGGACCACTACCTTAATAAGAAAATGCTGCTGCTTAGCCTGGCATTCAAGACTCCTTGAGACTCTTGGTAGATATATTTACCAGGGTTTCTCAAACTTAGCAAGACTGGCACACACTGCTGTGGGGCTTTTTCTTGCACAGCATTCCTGGTCTCTACCCACTAGATGGCAGCAGCATGGTGATCATCTCTTCCCGACATGGGCAAGACTCATGCAGTATGATGACCAGAGGGCCTTGAGACACCACCCCCGGTGCCATAGGCCCCAATCACACTGTCCCAAAAAGGCACTTCAAGAGACTGCTAACAATATGAGCCACGCCACCCTTTCTAATAACTATGTCAAGAAGAACAGCAAGTAGCTGCAGGTAAAGGCCCGGAAAAGGGGAAGATAACCCAGGTTTCAAGCTGATGTGAAGAGAGAGGAGTGCAGGGAAGGAGAGGACATGACACCAGGAGCAGTGAGGGAAGAACAGTGGGAGGAAACCTGGAACTGAGCGTGGCTGAGGAGGAAAGCAATGAGGGCCAGCAGTGTGAACAGGAGAGTGGGAGGGGACTCCAGCAGAGAAGCTGAAGGTTGACCAGGATGTGAAGGAGCGTGGCGGAGCCACAGCACAAAAGGCAGCAGGGTGCAGTGCCACATACGTTTTGATCATGGCCTTGAGGGCAGCCTTGCGCTCCCGGTCTGCAAACTTGTCCACAAGATAGCCAGACATACAAGGTGCGTGGCAATAGAGCCGGAAGAAGCGGTGATAGTTGCCTAGGGCCCACGCTGCCCTCAGTGCCAATGCGTGGGACACACAGGGGTCCGCTTTCAGCTCCCTTGTGAGGTATGCCAGCTCCGTAGTGATGTCTGCACAGGAGATAACTGGAGGTCAGGTGACAGGGTGCCACCTTGGGGATGGCACCCTTCATCTTGGGATGGCCTCTTACCCCCAGAGTTCTTGGTGAAGATGTAGTAGAGAATTCTGTATGCAGTAAATTCACCCACATTGCCTGCCAAGTTTTCCGCATATAGCGACTTGAGTTGCGTCTGGCACTGGTTGAATTCTTCATGGTCACCCTGAGCATGGAGATAGGGGTGTGAAGAACAGGCAAGTACAGGTGGCTTCACAAGAAGGCGCCCCATGGCAGTCGCCTAGCTCCCTACCTTCTCCAAGGCAATGCGGGCATGCGTCTCATACACCTCCACAGTGAACTCAGTGCGGATGCCTTGTACCTGGGCAGTGGGAATGAGCAGAGAGTCAGGCTGAGCAGAGCAGGGCAAGATGGCTGACACCAGAGCCCTGCAGCAACTGACTTACCGTGAGGTCCTGCCGAATGGACTTCATCTGCTCACAGGCGAAGGCGTAGTCCTGCTTCTCCTTCCAGTGGGACTTGACCATGCACAGAGACTTCTTCAAAACCTACAGGGAATAGAATCAAGGCTGAGTGTAGAGACTGCTGACAGGTCAAAGTCGCTGTGTTACTGCTCAGTGAGAGCTACAACACAGCCTGTATCAGTGATTCATCACTGCTACGAACAAACAAACCGAGTCAACACACAGCAAGACTGAGTGCCCCATAACTTCCTGTTGACACATAGTGCTGTGCCATGCTGAAGCAGAATAACAGCTGCCTTTGCAAGGCCACCTGGCTCCAGGGTCCCATATGAAACCTTGACTTTGCTTGTAGTAAGGCTGACTGTGGCCAGGCTATGCCCCAAGTGTGAAGAGCCTGCATGCTAGGTTCTTCTCATAGCCAGAGCTGCCACCTCCCTATGTTAGCTCCCTGCCTAATGCCAACACATCCTGGTGGTGGATTTACTGCCTGGGACTTACAGCCACAGGTCGCACAGTTGATGGGTCTGGGGCGCAGGTCAGCCGTAGATAGTGCTTTGTGATGTCAGGACAGGTGCCCACAATCTGTAGCTCCTGCCAGTCAGGGTCAGCGCCACTGCTTTCCAGGTTACTCATCTGCAGCACCAAAGGTTCAAGGCGCAGACGGCGTGAGTGCCCATGCTGAAAGCGGGCTGCCCTCTTTTGCTTCTTAAGCTCACGCTCTGGGTCCTCACACTCGATTGCTGCCATCTTCTTGCGGCTGCGTTTGGTTGGAGCTAGGTCATGCCTGGGGACAAAGCATAAAGGCCAATGTCTTCAGTCACTCTGAAGGCCATCTACCCCACCACCGGTGAGACCCAGCATAAAGGCCAATGTCTTCAGTCACTCTGAAGGCCATCTACCCCACCACCGGTAAGACCCAATCAACTCCCCCTAGGCCTAGGAAAAAAATCCCACCCAAAGCTCACCTCTTTCCTCGCTGCGCCCTGCCTCGGCCCCGATCCATGTGGGCCCCACGACCACCCCGACCCTTGGGAGGTGGGTTCCTGCGGCCTACAGGGTGACACTCATTCCCTGAGTAAGAGCTGTCAGAGTCTGAGTGGGAGTCACTAAATAAGGAAACAGAAAATCAGGCCTGAAGTACAAGGTTTAGGCATCAGCCCCCTCCCAGCTGCCCTCCGGCACAAGCTTGCACACCTCCTCCGGAAGTGACGGGTAGGGGACCTGGATGAAGAGCGTGAACGCGAATCTGTGCTGGAGGAAGAGCTGTTGTCCTTCATGAAGACGTTGCGGTTGCCGAACTTGGCGAAGCTGCTACCCCGGGCTCGGCCAGCACCCCCAGACCCAGGTGTCCCTCGCTGGGATTGGGCACCCCCGCCCCTGGTCACCGAGCCTGCCCCCCTGGGAGGGTGAAGGCTGCTAGGGGCCTCCCACCGTTTCTTCTTGGGGCTCTCAGTCACAGGCTCCCTGGTCAGCCTGAGGACATAGCAGGGCAGGGCATTACCAACCAGCCACCAACCTGCAGAACTACAGACCCCACCCTGTGGCCCAGGGCCACAAAACCTCAGAACGGAGAGGCACTTACCCTGGCAACTCAGCCATTGTGGTGCAGGAAAGGGACAAAGCCCTAGACTGTCTGTGTCCAGGGGATGCTCTTAGCCATAAAGCCACCCATACCTTCCCAGCCAGTCCTGCCCACTCCCTAAAGCCCTATCCTTGATCACTCCTGGGCCGTCTACCCTCCCCAAAGGGTCCTGAGATAGAGCTGTCAGCTTTCTGGCTCATTTCTCTCTGAAGCTGCCAGTTTTTGAGGCCCAAGTCCCCAGCCCAGGACCCAGCAGCCCCACTGCCTCATAGTGTCACCCAGACTGACCCAGGCAGAGGCTCTCGGCTCCAGTCGATGGTGTAGGCAGAGCCATCCTGGAGCCGGGCCTGTAGCACCTCCTTGAGCAGCTTCTCTGTCCGGTCCTTGTCCTCTTCTGATTCACAGGCGGTGAAGCACCGCTCAACATATTCCTTCATATCCTGCGGCCAATCGTCCGGCTTCCCAGACAGGTTTCCCCGGCCAGACGGCCCACTGTGAGAATAAGACAGATGAGGGCACTCAGGTGGGAGGACCCTACATTTCGGCAGAATTTTTATTGTAATCTTAGATGGCAGTCCTACACCATACATTCCTAGGGTTCCCTTCACATGAGGCACTCAGAGTGACCCCTAAAGAGGGACCTTGGAGAACAGACACTGAACACAGACACTGAACACAGAGCATGGGTAGGCAGGGATGGGGACGAGAATCACCTATGGTTCTGGGCTTTCTCAGAGCTGGGCTGGGAACTGAAGCTACTGTGTTGACCCTCTGTATTGGAGCTGAAGTTCTGGTTGGTGACAGCAAAGGGCCGCTTCTGGATGTTGAACTTGAGACCTCCAGTCCCAGGGGCTGCTGTGGGAGGACAACAGAGACTGGAGTTAGGTCCTTTCCAGACATTCAAATCGGCCAAGCACTGGAGCAGGTCTCTAGCATGAGCAAATCTGTACCAGAACAGTCTTTTCCTAGACTAGAGTCCATCAGAACACCCTGACAAAGGTCCAGCCACTCTGGGTGGCTCACAAGTAAGCTCCAACTTTCTGACCCCCAAAAGTCTGCTAACTCACGTTTCATGCGGGTCCACAGCTGCTGACCCTTCTTGGGCTTGGCAGGCTCACTGTAGCTGTGTGGCCCATAGGTCTGCCCTGTAGGTGCCCCTGCCTGACTGTGCTGAGTGGCTGGGGCTGTTCCAGGCTGAGGGCCATTGCTTAGACCATGTGTTCCATGCTGAGGGTTTGAGGGCTGAGGGGGCTGGGCTGCAGGGAGCTGCTGAGGGGAAGCCTGGTAGGCCATACTCTCATCCATGCCAGGGACTGGAGGCTGTGGGAAGAAGCAGAGGCTGAAGGCAGCAGACAGCATCCTGATGCCAGATCACATGGTACTCAGTTCTTAAAGTCACCTTCTTCAGCAATAAGTGCTACAATCTTCTGGGGCTGCCACTCCATATGATCGGTGATTTCCTGAGGTGTCTATTTTTACTAGCTATCCTTCCCACAACAGAGAGGTCTCAGACTCAAGAGACTGAGCAACTTTCCATAGCCTCAGCTACCGTCAGTGCCAACACTGGGGCCTAACTCTACTAACAGTCACTAATGACACATTCACTAGGGTTCTCTTGAGCACATTAACATGTGACAACACACTTACTCAAGCCTATGACAAGGCTGCATCCTCTCAACTCTGAGGAGCCACTAATGTGTAGAGAACAGTGAAGCAAAGCAAGGACTCAAAGCCAGGTCAATGTACTTCCTATGCTCTAGGATCTTCCACTCCTCTAGACTGCACCAGTTGCAAAGGCAGCATGTTGGGTAGGTATGGGTGTGGGTGTGTGTACACCACTTGCTGTGTATGCAGGGGGCACACTAGCTCCTGAAAAAGTTGTGAGTGCATATGCTGGAGAAAAAGAGAGAAGGCAGACTGCCAAACTACAAACTGCTCCCGCCATCTCCCCAACATTATACCTGGGCCTTGCCCAGCCTCAAGCCCATCCTAGTTTTAAAAGCTAAGCTTTTACATCAGGAGGTGCTTAACAAGAAAGAACAAGCGAGAGGGGAGGGAGCAGATTTGAAATAGTGCAGACCATTTTTGGTTGCAAGTCCCCTCAAAAGCCAGGTTCTTGCTCCCAGCTGACCAGGAGCAGCTAGGCAAAGCATTACCTGGTTCAGAGTCCCTTGGTGCTGGGGAGCCGATGGCTGCTGGGCTGTAGCTGAGCCGTAGGAGCTGGCCATCCCATACTGGGAGGGGGAGCCGTAGCTCTGGTACATGCTCTGCCAAGGCATAGGAGGAGCCGGAGTTAGTCAAGGCTGCTCATGCCTTGGGCCTCCCTTGGAACCATGCTCAACTCAAGAGGCTGTAGACGCCAGGCCCTTGTTCTTTCCACCATACAAATGCACCAAATCATGTATTTTCAAAAAAATCAAAATCAAAAACCTCTTAATTCCACTCGTGCCAGCAACTATAGGTCTTGCTATCAAGTGAGAAGAAGCAGTGAGTGCCAGCATTTCTAATGCATGATTAAAGGACAGACAGGAGATAGGGATAGGCTCACCCCTTTAATCATAGGACTTATGAGCCAGGATGGAGACAGGTGGACTTCCGTGGAGTGTGAGGCAAGCCTAATCTATATAGCTAGTTCCAGGCCAACAAGGGCAACACAGTGAGACCTTATCTTTAAAAAATTAAAATAAAAAAAAAAAAAGAGGCAAGCTTGTTTGGTGATGTATATTCAGGAGGCAGAGGCAGGAGGGGTGGTTGAAATCAACCTGGGCTATATAGAGAATTCTGACTCAAAAAGAAAAACAAATCCCAGGTCTAACAATGTCCACACATAGCTTTACAGCTACAGGTGTAAGTGGGTAACGCCCCACAGTAATTAGCATGTAAGAAAACAAGGCAAAGAAGAGAAGCAGGAATATGACTTGAACAGTTTGTCAGTGGGAGGCTCTCTGAAGATGTTCTCTGGGCAGCAAGGAATCTTGAAGTGAGCACAGTAAAATGGGAAGCTGCAGCAGAGCAAAGCACAGGGGACTAGGATATCCTAACGTTCTAGGGTAAGGAGGCAGTGAGGATACGAGCATCAACAGTGGGATGGACCATGGACAAGTCAGATCTTGTGAGACTGGAGCAGGAAGCTGGGATTTACGTTAGGGGATACTGGTAGGTTTCTGAACACTGCTATGTCCATCTTCACCCCCACTAGCCATGCCCCCACACGGACAGAAAGTTCTCACCCAGTAGCCAGGTACTCACCATGGGGTAGTAGTAGCTGTAAGGATAGGCATAATTGTATTGCTGATACCACTGGTAGTACTGTTGTTGCTGCTGCTGCAAAGCTGAAGCTTCTGCCTGAGAGACATACTGTGGAGACAAAAGCATGTACGTTATCTGTCAGAACATGGGAGTCTATGGGCACTACAGTCCCAAGAGGACAAGCCTCTAGTGCGGAAAAGAGATGGAGTCCATGCCTCTACAGTAAGAGTAGGCTTCTGGAAGATGGGGCAAGTCTCCCTCCTTGGATCACTCAGACCCTGGCTGACTCAAAGTTGTTGACTGTTTCCCTTCATCAGATTTAGTTAAGAGGAAAACATATTTACAGTCCGCTAAGGCATGCCATTCTCTGAAAGTCAGCATCCTTCCCATCCTTTCCTCAGCAACAGTCCCACCCCAGCACAGCAGTTCCAAGTCCTGTGTGCCCTTCTCACTTGCGCACTAGCCACAGGACCACTGCTACTGGCTTTTGAGCTGCTGGCAGCCCCTGCTTTGCTGATGCTGGCCAGGGCCTGGCGGGCCTTCTCCCACTCTGGGTTCTCGTGCATAGGAGTTTCCATGCCATTCTCTCTGCTGGCTCCAGCCACCATGCCATACTGAGAAGACCTGCAAAGGTGAGACAGAGTTATGTTCTACTGTATACAAGTAGACAAGGCCTAAGTTCCAGAGCTAAGATCCCTACCTACCAGAGCCATAGCTGAAGCTGGCACATAGCAAGTGCCAAGCAAACAGAAGGTTGACCAGCATACACAAAACTTTACATGACCTACGACCTTAGAAGGACTCAATCTTTTACAAGTCAATGAACTCTGATATGGCCAACTATGGGGGAAAAACAAAACAAAACAAAACAATAAAAAAGGAATTATCAGAAAGACACTAAGAGGGGGCTGGAGAGATGGTCCAGTATTTAAGAGCATTTGCTGGTCTTGCAGATGTTGCAAGTTCAGGTCCCAGCACCTATGTCAAGTGGCTCACAGACACCTATAACTCTAGCTCCAAGGGATCCTATGCCTCTTCTGACCTACATGAGTATGAATTATATATACACACACACAGAGAGCTCAGAGGGGAAGCTTGCCCCTCCACCCTAGCCCCCAGAATGTGGTTTCTTCTTCCAGGCTGTGCAAAGAAGTCCCACTGTATTTTGTTCCTCTTTCCCAGCACAATGGACTGTGTCCCCCAAGTCCTACTAACCAATCCGTGCTGCGCTGATCACCCACGTTGGCCGCCATCTGGACCTTGGGGTGTAGGGCGTGGACCTCGGGAGCCAGACTGCTTTTTCACTGTCTATAAGAAAAAAGATGAGTTAGACCCAAGGAGGAAGAAAGAATGTTGGCTTCATAAAAGGATAGATGAAAAAGACAGAGTATCTCATAGAAAGGAACACTGATAAAGAATGGAAAAGAATCCAAGCATTGTGGCTCATGACTGCAATACCAACACTCTTTTGGGAGTTCAAAGCCTGCCTGGGCTTCATGTTGAAATCCTGTTTCTAAAACCAGTAAAAAGAATCAGAGAATTCCTGCTGTGGAATGAAGAGACTTGAGCATGAAGGGAAGACACTGGACTTCCTAAAATGCAGGATGTAAAAATGAAAGTCAGAGATGATGATGAAATGATCAGAGTGGATGCAAGGGGAAACCAGGCTGAGGTGATGGATGAGGAGACCCAAGTCCTGGGCAGGGAATCCAATGGGAATTCCTAGAGTATTGATATAGGTTCTAAAGAAGCAGAAAGAAGGCAGGCACTATCCAGTGAGTAAAGTCTTAACTACCCGTGAATAAAGCATTAGCTACCAAGACGTTTGGCAACAGGGAAGTTTCTGGGGACACATGGAGGAGCATGGAGCTGAGACTGGGAGAACACTGGAGAACAAAGCAAAGTTTCCAAAGAGAAAGGAAATCTCAGGATGTCTCACTAAGGAACTGCAGAAAGTGGAGGTGGGGGAGGCTCTCCTTATGTGAAGTCACTGGCTGTCAGCACCTGAATCAATGAAGAGAAGCCAGAGGGCAGAGACTTGTATGAGATGTTCCTGGGAGCAGGAGCTAGTGTGGGAGAAACAAGAGGCAATCCTTTGGGTACAATGTCTGCAGATAAAGTTTTCAGGGTGCTGCGGGAGGCCCACAATTTTCTTAAGAAACCATTAGGGGTGAAGGGTGGGATGACAGAAGCATGAAGGACTGCCTTGGGGGTCAGGACTTGAGGGACCCAAACAACAGAATTTACAGCAAAGAAGCCCACGAAGAACCAGAAAGCTTGCAGAAAGCCTTAGGGGCAATGACAGGCCTCAAAGACATTAAGAAAAAAGAAAAAAAAAGACAGGGCCGGGCAGTGGTGGCACACGCCTTTAATTCCAGCACTCGGGAGGCGGCGGAGGCAGGGGAATCCCTGTGAGTTTGAGGCCAGCCTGGTCTACAAGAGCTAGTTCCAGGACAGCTAGGACTGTTAAACAGGGAAACCATGTCTCGAAAAACCAAAAAAAAAAAAAAAAGAAAGAAAGAAAAGAAAAAAACAGACAGACCATTGGGTGGAGTCAAGGGGTCGGTCGAAAGTAGGGTAGCGAGTGGGAGACCCTGGGAGTACTAACTGGTATTGGGAGTGAGGCCTAGGGGGCAGGGATCTGACGGACGAGGACAACATGGACTCTATGCACCTGGCTGTCCCGCAGGCATGGGGTCCACGACACCAGGTGGAGATGGAGGCCACCCTGAGCCCAAGCGACCCTCCTTTATCCCCGCGGTCCGCCACCAGCCAGGCCGTGCCTGCGCACCAAGCCGCGAGGATGGTCTCTCTGGGTTGCCCAGGGCAACACGGCGGCCGGCGTAACAGCGGGTCAATGGGGCCGCGAGGGGAGCGCCTAGTGTACTAGGGTCCGCAGCGTTCCCAGGGACAGTGGCAAAGCGGAAGCGCGTGCGCACGCGCAGTGTTGCCTGTCGCGCGCACACAAACCCCGGGCGCATGCGCGGACGGCCACACCCTTCACAGACGCTGGGAGCGGCGTCGGTTAGCCCGACCAAGCAGGCCCGGGCTCGCCGAGCGCGGAGCCGGAAGGAGTCCCTGTGCTCTCCCGCCAGTCCGCCCGCCAGTCCTCACACTCACCAGGACCTCTTGCTCCCGGAGTTCGTTACCGGTGGTCCAAGGCGAATACACGACACCCGCGATAGCGCTCGGTCACCGGCAAGCTCTTCTGGGGCTGGAACGTCCTGACCGCGGCGTGATGGCGTCACCCGGACGTCTGTACCCGCCCCGTGTCGCGTACAGCCAATGGATGTCACCGCTCGCTTTGAACCACCCTCCACCTATCCCGCCTACGCAATTGCGTGTGGGCGTTATCAGCAAGCTGGGAGCTGGGTGTGGACGGTGGCCCCATGGGGACAAGCGCCGCAGGCTCTCCCATATAGAAGCATTAGCCGTAAATTGTAAACTATAGGGACGGGAGTTTTGAGGCTGCGCAGAGCGCTGTGACGTTTAAAAAAAAAAAAGCAGTGAATAAGTGATGAGAATGAATCTTCCCCCAATAGGCTTGTTTAGTGAATAAACCTGGAATAGCACAGCTGGAGTGAGCAACAGTGAGTGAGACCCCAAGGAAGCAGGAAACACGCGTCGCTTGAGGAGTAACCAATTGGCTGTGACGCTGGAAAGGTAGCCGGGGTAGAAGAATGTGGAGGGAGAGGTTTGCGGAACCTACAAGTATGTGCTTATGTGCTGATCAGGCTGGCCCGGAACTCAAGGAGATCCGCCTCCCTCCTATGGGATTAAAATTGTAGGCCATCACGCCCGGCCACAATAGGGTTTTCTTTTCTATTCTGTTCTTTTGCTTTCTTTCTCTTTTTCTTTTGGTTTTGGGAGACAGGGTTTCTCTGTAGCTTTGGAGCCTGTCCAGGAAGTCGCACTGTGGACCAGGCTGGCCTCCAACTCACAGAGATCCGCCTGCTCCTGCCTCCCAAGTGCTGGGATTAAAGCCATACACCACCACCGCCCGGCCCAGTAGACTTTTCTTAAAGCTCATTGTTTACACCAGAAATGATTGAATCGTGCCGTTCAATTAGGGATACCTGTTAAAATAATAACCCAGCTTCTAGTCACACTTTGTACCAGAGACTTTTGGTAATTACACAACACTTTGATAACTTTATAACATTTTGTTACTGTTAGCATGGTAGGTTTCTTCCCATCTCTTTTTTATAATGAACTTTTATTTTAGCATAAATTTGGGTTTACAGGGGGGAAAAAGTTGCAAAGATAATACAGGAGTTGGGCATAAAATGCCCAGTTTCCCCTATTGCTATCACCTCAGATTCACCTTTGTTTATTTGTTAAAAAGAAACTGACTGACATTGCTTTAATACTCTGAACTAAGCTGCAAACTTTAGACTTCGATACTTTTCTCATTAATGTTTTCTATGTGCCAGTGTGTAACCCAGAGCATCATGTTGCATTTATTTTGCTTTTCTCTGTCCTGTTGGAGCTGAGGTTTCTGGATTTATGACACCCATTTGCTTGACGATGCAACTGAGGTTCAACGAGTCAACTGACTTGCCCACATTCAACACAGTGGTGCCTGGACTGGGGCCCAGAAGCATCCAACCGCTGTGTGGGACGTTTCAGAGTATGTCACCTGGTGCTTGTGTACCCGACTGCCACTGTTTGTCACACCCAACTTGAGTATCCTGTTCTACTGGCTTCCCTTACAGAACTGCTGGTCTTCGAGAGAGTTCTACTTGCAGATCACTTCTCTTCCTTTTGTGGACTTTTTGTCTCCAGCATTTAACTAAGCCAAGTGTTGCCTGGACAGAGGGCTCTGCACACATATCTTCAGTTGCTTGTCTCTGTCTGGAAGCCGGTTCCCCAAAGGATCACCACGCCAAGAAACAGTTGCCATTCTTTCACAGATAAGAGTTTTTGTTTGTTTGTTTTTTCACACACTGGGGATTCACAGCCTTTGGGCAGCATATTTTGAGCACCTCTTCTCTGGGCTTCTAGAACAGCACCAGACAGCACCCCACTTTAACGTCACAGTAAGTACTGGGCAGGGGAGTAGCACAGTGTGTTTGGAAATCATTAGAATTTTAGCCACTTTATGAGTTTTGTCTCTGGGTTTTTGTTTCTTCTTATGTTCATCTTACTTGCTTATTTTTAAATTGAGATGTCTTTTATGAATTATTTGTCATATGTGCTAATTTTTTCTTTTTACAAAAGAGAACTACATAGGCATTATTCCCCATACAATAAATTTCCCTTTTTACTCTGCCATATTTGTTGGTTTGTTTGTAGTTTTTAGCTCATTGACTGCCTTATCTTTTCTTGTCTAGATTTATATCTTCACGTTTCATCTTCTACATCACCTTAGCAGCACTATGTACTTTCTCTTTCTACATTCTACTTCCTCTTTGAATACTTCTTCCCCTTTACTGGCACACATTTAGGTTTTCTGACATCTTGTGCTGGATTTGAACTGCTAGAAAGTGAGTTGATGCCACACCATTCCTAAGCCCACAAGACCTTGCACATCCCACATGACTGGAAGCTCGACTTTGTTGTTCCTGTGGATTCATGCATGTTTAGATCTAGTGCTACGTTTATTCTCTTCCTGGGGTCTGCCTCTTCCTTTGTCAGGACACGCATGTGACTTTCAGAACCAGAGTGGTGCTGAACCTAGACAAGAGGAGAGTTGCCTTTCAACCATCAAGGAGGGAGTCATCTCTCTAGCTCAGTCAGGACTTCCTCTCCCAGGAGGGGAGAAAAAAGAAGATCCTAGCTACTTGTAAAATAGTCTTCCCTTTTATTTCAAATCAACCCTCTCCAAGTTAGTGCCATGAGTTGAGATTGCTGGAATATGGCAGGAGCAGAGACATCCTTATACCTGCCTCCCTTAGTCCCTCCAAGAACAATACCAGCAGCCAGCCAGAGGTGAGGGACACCTGGCTGTAGGTCAGCCCCCTTCCCAGCGAGCCCAGATCCCTGCTCTGCCATCTCAGCAGTCCCTTGTGCTAAAGACAAATGGGAATGGGGGAATGTTGGGGCCCAAGCAGAATGTCATCCTATGTGAGGTTTCCATGGCCAGCAGTGTTAGTGGTCAGAGCCCAGTCAGGGTCAGGTTAGTGGGGCCTTCTCCAGCAGCCAGGAAAGGAGCTAGAGAGAGGGAGAGATGAGGAGCTGACATAGGCAGGAGACACTCCCATGGACACCCACCCAGCCTCTGAGTGCCATAAGTCAAGGCCCAGCAGATCACCGAGGTGCCATTAAAGCTTACCTAACAGGAGAGACCACTCCAGGCTGGAGGGGAGGCTCAGATGGAAGACTGCCACTGCACAAAGCGCTTGGATTCCTAGCACGATAATGGGGAGAAGACATACAATGAGAATGTGTCACATACTGGGGGTCCCTCCCTCAGACCCAGGATCCCAGCTGCAGTCCTTCTCCCTCAGACCCAGAGACCCAGATCCAACCGTCCCTCAGACCCAGGAGTTGACAGCCCAGCCTTCCTCCGCAGACCAGGGTCTGTACCTGAGGGTTGAAAGGGTCGTCATCATCTGTGTCATCGTAGTCATCACTGGAGTGTGATGTGGGGAGTGGCAGAGAAGCAGGATGGGAACCCATCAGGAGGCTGCCCCATCCCCACCAGTGGCCCTGGGTGCTGCCTCCTGTCCCCTCCCTGGGGACCCTGCCCTCTCTCCCCTGCTGACCTGGGCGGGAAGAGGGCCCAGGCACGGGGCAGGCTGCAAAGGGTGGTGGCCAGGGCCCCCGCAGACAGGAGAGAGAAGAGCATCAGGAACAGCAGGCCCTCCAGGGCATCTTCACACAGGCCTCGGAGTGCCGAGCCATAGTCCTGAGGCAGAGGGTAAGCCTTAGAGTGCACACACATGTACCCTGTACATAGATCCAACCATCCACCTGCCTGGCTGAGTGGTATTGCATGAGTCACGGAGACTCTGTGCCCAAGTTTAGTCTCCTGTCAGAGAGCTTGTTGTGAACATGAAAGGCCATCCATATGTTCACTGTGCCTTTGGCTGAGCTGCAGCCCCCCAGTCCGTTTCTATTTTATCTCATGCCTCTACCCCACATGCAAAGTGGTCTACCATCGCCACTCAGCACCCAGAGAACTGCTCTCCCAGGATCCCAGGTGGAAGAGCCTCTACACTGCCACCTCCCACCAGCACCATCCCTGCCTATCCTTGTTCCAACCAGGTGTTACTGACAGATGAGTATGCTGGCACCCTTTCCTGTAGCTGTGAAATTCATGTTGCCACACATTGTCAGATGCCCCTTGGGTCCCACAAATCGCTGGCTTACGTAACAACTTAGGATTGGACATGGCACATGATACACATGCAGAAAAGACTGTCTACTGTGACTGCTGCCCTGGAGGACAGCAGAACCACTGTGACCTCAATGCCCAGTGGCACAGCCAACATGCTGGTTCATTCTGTAGAAAATGGACTAAGCCACCTTTGCTCAGCACTGGCAACCTGCAGTACATGGGACCAAGAAGTCCACTTTGGAGGCTTGTGAGCTGGTAGGGCAGTAAGATGTTAGGACAGTACCAGCAGAGGCCATTTGAGAAGGGCACAAGGATCCAGGCAGATGGTTAGTTCTAGACAAAGGCAGGTAGCTGGGGTGACATGGAGGAATAGGATAGAATCACCAAGACTGAGGCCACACGCCTTTTGCTAGGGCTGTCTATACAGACTCTTCTAGGTCAGTGCTAGGAGCCCTAGCTTTAATCCACGTGCAGGGGGATTCACGCAAGGGCTTTTCAAGGGAGACTCTGATCTGGTTGTGTTTGAAAGGATCACCAGCTGTCTCTGGATAGATGGAATGAGCAGGTGTGGTCTTGGCAGGAGGGGAGGGGCCAGGGTCTGCTGCCACAGTGGCTGTGTGAGCAGCAGATGCAGTGGGGAAGTGAGGATAGCGAGCTAGAAGGGCAGTCCTGACTTCCTGGTGCAAGTGTTGGGGTGAAGGAAGAGGCTCCTACTGTTGAGTAAGCGAAGTGTGTGGTGAGGAGCCCACCAGGATACTAACCAGTTAGGTTTGCGTCAGGCACACACATACTGTGCCCACATATCTTTGCAATAGCCCCATGTAATGCTGCCTTTGATGCTGTGGAAAGAAGCTGAGCCCAGAGTGGGCAATCTGCTTTTACAGAGTCACACAGCCTAGAAGGTACAAAGCTGAATCTGGAACCAAGTCTCTTAGGTTCCAGAGACACCTACCCCTTGCCACTCATTTACACAGGGTCTCTCCCTA